CAAATAAGGAAACACGAGAGTATGCTGCTTATATTCTTGCTGACCTATTCACCACGAGGCAAGATATCTGCCATAGCTTCTCGACTAATGAAATTGTGGATCCTTGCAAGAAAATCTTAAATGGGAACAACACCGAAACTGTCGTAAAACAACTGGCTCAAGCATTAGCCGCATTGTCTCGCCCAAAGAAGACCAAGTCGAACAAAAAAACGTCGCATGTCACACAGAAAGATGTCATACCTCTCATTGAATTGGCTAAAACTTCTCCCATGGAGACTGCAGAATCAGCAGTTGCTGCACTGGCAAGTATTCTCTCTGACCCCCATCTCGCTGCTGAAGCTTTGGTGGAAGATGTCGTTTCAGGTCTGACAAGAGTTCTTGGGGAAGGAAGTTTACAAGGGAAGAAGAGTGCATCTCAGGCACTTCATCAATTACTAAATCATTTCCCAATAAGTGAGGTAATAAGTGGGAGTGCTCAGTGTCGTTTCGTGGTTTTATCGGTGCTTGATTCGCTAAACTCGATGGAAAAGAGTGGGACAGATATGACTGATAGTTTAGAAGTTGTTTCACTCTTGACAAGGACAAAGCAAGGTGCAGACTTAGAATACCAACCATGGGCTGCTCTAGTTGAAGTTCCATCAAGCTTAGAGCCTCTAGTTTATTGCTTGGCTAAGGGATCACCGGTGGTGCAAGATAAGGCGATCGAGATATTGTCCAGGCTCTGCGGTGAGCAACCTGTTCTGTTGGGCGATCTGTTGATTTCCAAGTCAAGTTCGATTGCTGCTTTAGCTAGCAGAATAACCAACTCGCCGAGCTCAGAAGTGAGAGTTGGTGGGACTGCTCTACTCATTTGTGTTGTAAAAGAACACAAACAAAAGACTTTGGAAGAGATTGATGCATCAGGATACTTGAAGCAGCTCATATATAACTTGGTTAATATGATAAAACACAACTCACGGGTTTCGGGTTTGGAGATTGAGGTCCAGAGTCCTAGAGGGTTTTATGATAGGTCAATTCGTCAAAAGAGACAGGAGTTTGATATGGTGGATCCAACTACTTTATTGGGAGGTACTGCTGCATTGTGGTTACTAGCGATCATATCTTCATTTCGTGCAAAGAACAAGCTCATTACCATGGAAGCTGGTGGTCTCGAGGTTCTCTCGAATAAGCTTTCGTATTATACTTCACGTCCACTGGTAATAAACCGAAAATTGTTCTATCTCTTATCTTTCCAACTATTGTCACATTTTGTTCTTCAACTTGTTTTGACCTGACAAAAGAAATCCATCTTCAATGCTCAGACAGAAGTTGAAGACGGAGAAGGAATATGGATAAGTGCCTTGCTTCTATCAGTTCTATTCAAGGATGCCAAAGTGGTATTATCTCCTACATCAATCCGGATTGTACCTTCTCTCGCTTACCTGCTGAGGTCCGACAAAATGATTGACAAATTCTTTGCATCCCAAGCTCTTGCAAGTCTCGCTTGCAATGGTACCAAAGGAATAAGCATCTCCATCGCTAACTCTGGCGCCATTAACGGATTAATCCCACTAATTGGCTATGATGAGTCCCAGATTCCAAATCTGGCAACTCTATCAGAAGAGTTCTCTCTTGAGAAAAACCCTGCTCAACTTGCACTAGAGCACCTCTTTGAGGAAGATGATGTTCGTGGGGGTGTGTCAACTGCTCACAAAGCTATCCCTTTGTTGGTGGATCTCCTGCGTCCCATTCCCGGTAGACCTGGTGCCCTTCCAATTGCTGTGGAGCTATTACATCGCATTGCTGAGGGAAGTGACACTAACAAGTTGATCATGTCTGAAGCTGGTGCTTTAGAGGCTTTAACCAAGTACATCTCATTGAACCCTCGAGACCCGAATGAGGCTTCTATATCTGAGTTGTTAAGGGTACTGTTCAAGAACACAGATCTCATACGACACGAAGTGGCACTTAACTGCTTGACCCATCTCATTGCCATCCTTCGGTTTAGTTGTAGAGATGCTCGATTCAGTGCTGCACGAGCTCTCCACGAGCTCTTCAGTGCTGAGAAGATTAAGAACTGCGATTTGGCTAGACAAGTTGTTCAGCCCTTGATCGACATGGTCAACATTGCCGAGTCAGAGAGTGAGCAACAATCTGTTCTTGCCACCTTGATCAAGCTTACCTCGGGGAGTAATGCTTCGAAAGCTGCTCTATTCTTTGACATCGATGGTAATGCACTGGAGACCATGTACAACATACTCTCCACTTCTCCATCCGTGGAGCTTAAAGGAAGTGCTGCACAGGTTTGTTATGTCCTCTTCAGCAACAAAAAGTTCCGTGAAACTCCCATTGCTCCCGAGTGCACTGAACCACTGATATCTCTCATTCAATCACCATCAGTTTCGGCTGCAGAATCCGCGGTTTGGGCATTCGAGAGGCTACTCTCCGATGTCCAGCTCGTGGAGCATATTTCAGCAAATGACACAATACTGGACCTTCTCATCAGCCTTGTTTCAGGCACAGAGTATCGACTCATCGAGGGAAGTGTATCTGTGCTAATAAAATTGGGAAAAGACCGAGCTCACCGGAAACAAGATATGGTGAGAGCAGGGATCTTGGACAAATGTCTCGACCTTCTTCCACACGCGTCAATGCCTTGCTGCTCTGCCATCGCCGAGCTTTTCCGGATACTTACCAATAGTGGCGCCATAGCGAGGAGTCCCGAAGCTGCAAAAATAATTGAACCGCTTTTCGATCTCTTGCTTCAACCAGATTTTAGCTTATGGGGAAAGAATAGTGCCTTACAGGCGCTTATGAATATCTTGGAGAAGCCACAATGTCTAACCACATTAAGACTCACACCGATCCAGACAATTGAGCCACTCATCTCCTTCCTTGAGTCACCGACTCGAGAGCTTCAACATGCTGGCACCGACGTTCTCTCCCATCTATTAGTACAAGAACACTTCCAGCAAGACATCACAACGAAGAATGCAATCGTCCCGCTGGTAAGGCTTGCCGGAATTGGGATCTTGACACTCCAACAAATAGCAGTGGCGGCGCTCGAAAGAATCTCAACCAGCTGGCCGAAGGAAGTCGTTGACGCCGGCGGGATCTACGAGATCTCCAAAATCATAATCCAGGACGATCCGGAACCGACTCTCGAGCTATGGGAAGCGGCAGCCCTAATTATCTCGAATCTTCTGCAGTTCAATGCTGAGTACTACTACAGAGTCCCTCTGATTGTTCTCGTTCGAATGTTACAATCGACTCTGGAGAGCACGATTAAGGTCGCGCTCAACGCCTTGCTCGTTCACGATCGAGCCGATAAGTCCAGTGCCGAGCAAATGGTGGAAGCTGGAGTTGTCGACGCGTTGTTGGATCTGATGAGATCTCATCACTGTGAAGAGCTCTCCGCGAGGTTGCTGGAAGCTTTGTTCAACAAAGCTAGGGTAAGAGAGATTAAGATTACCAAGGACGCGATTGCGCCGCTAGCGGAGTACCTACTAGATCCACAAACGACGACGGAGACCTGCAAGCTGTTTGCTGCTCTGGCGCTCGGAGATCTCTCGCAGCAGGAAGGTCACGCGAGATCGAGCGATTCGGTGTCGGCTTGTCGAGCATTGGTCAGCTTGCTGGAAGATCACCCGTCGGAGGACCTAACAATGGTGGCAGTTTGTGCGTTGCAGAATTTCGTAATGCATAGTCGGACAAATCGACGGACAGTGGCAGAAGCCGGCGGGATATTGGTTATCCAGGAGCTACTGATATCTCCTAGCGCTGACGTGGCGGCACAAGCGGCCGTGCTAATCAGGCTTCTGTTTGCAAATCACACGCTACAGGAATTCGTTTCCACTGAGCTCGTCAGATCTTTGACAGGTACTAAAAAAATTGTCACACTTAAAACATTTAGGTATTGAATAGAAATTTCGCTCGAAGAAACTTATATCTGGGTTTTTTTTTTCCCGTTGCTTTCTTCCCAAAGCTGCACTGGAGAGGGAGTTCTTGTCCGCAGCAACTATGAATATTCAGATATTGAAATCGATAAACGTCATGTTCACCAACTTTGCGAAGCTCCACGTATCGGAGGCAGCCACGTTATGCATCCCTCACCTGGTAACTGCTCTGAAGTCGGACAATGAGGCGGCGCAGAGGAGTGCATTGGACACCCTGTGCATATTGAAGGAGTCGTGGATGGCCATGCCGGTAGACATAGCCAAGTCTCAGGCGATGATTGCTGCTGAAGCGGTACCCATTCTGCAAAGCTTGTCGAAATCGTGTCCGCCGGGTACCCATAATAGAGCAGATGCACTGTTGCGTTCCCTGCCTGGATGCCTTACCGTCACCATCAGGCGTGGGAACAACTTAAAGCAGGCGAATGCTTTCTGTCAGTTAACTATCGGCAATAGTCCTCAACGGCAAACCAAGGTAAGAGAATTTCAGCTCGTTGTCGTTAACTTCAAACTTCCTTCAGTAGCTTCTTTCTACGGACATGGTTGAGGAAATTCGGTCTCGTCTTCTAGGTGGTAAGCAATAGTACCTCGCCAGAGTGGAATGAATCTTTCACATGGGCATTTGACATAGCGCCAAGGGGACAGAAACTCAATATTGTATGCAAAAGCAAGAGCACATTTGGCAAGGTAACAAATCAACATCAGTTCACATTGTTGTTATGTGCATGGAATCCCTTGACGAATTCTACCTAATACTCACGAATATTGCTAAGTGCCTGAGCCCAAAGGGTTGTCCATATCTTACTTGCATAACAAGTTATCTTTTTTGGTTTTTGCGCTGTGCATTGGGGCTGTTACAGACGACGCTAGGAAGAGCAAGCGTCCAAATCGACAGAGTGGTAACAGATGGAATGTACAATGGAGCAGTGCCCCTCACTAACGAAGGCACCAAAGATGATACTTCCAAAACAGTTGAAATTGAGATTGTTTGGGCCAACAACATATCAAATTAACGACCGCCATAGCTACGAGGGGGAGACAGCGGCCTAAGTAATGTGTGCAGATGATGTGCAGATGTATTCAGTACTTTGTAAATTGCAGCATAGAATCAATCGGTACATATTGTAAAGTATAGCTTTTTACTCTTGTGCACGAGTTGGCTGGGCAAGTCAAGAAGAGATCTTGACAGCAGTGTGAAGTAATGTAAATAAATACTTACCTGTACAGGCTCTACGTTAACTAGAGGAGAAAGAAACCTGAACTGATTTTAGTAACCAAAATTCAACATCAATCTTTGTTTATCGTGTTTTGTGAGTAGCAGATGGAACTCCTAGCCAGTACTATTTCTCCAATCGGTCCATGATAAGAAAGAAAACGTACCAACTAGTTTCAAGTAGGTTGGGCTTCATTCAGTTACTCTATATTCAATAGTTGTTTGACCTCAGAAGCAGACTCACCCACTCCCAGGGAAAGTTTAGAAAAGGACATTCTACTTTGCCGCAGCAACTAGAGCAGAGCGAGCTCCGGTGAAAGAAGCAATAAGAGAGCCAAGCTGCAACTTGTCACTGCACCCGAAAGTCAACCGGTACCTGCAGTGCAGATTGCCCAGTATCAGGTACAAGAGACAAAGAATGTCATGCCCATTTATAATTGGCTTTAACACACAAAGAAACATTCACACAATGGCACAAAGGAATAATGGAAAACCAGGATACATACTCTATATCAGCCATATCATTGATCAACTTGACCCGTACATCTGATGGCATCTTGATCCTAAAAACGAACCTGTTTCGAACAAAATGAGTGAAGATCTCAGATCAAATAAACAAGAATCAGAATTGTTCAGATAATATTATGCATTTTACATTGCACTGACATTGTTACTTCTCTTACTATATCCACCATAGCCAATCCTTTTCGGTTCTTCATTTCAGCAATACCTATAAAGCATCATCATTGAGAGAAAAATTAGCGTGAAAACCCCCTCATTGACGTTTGCGTAGAAATGAATCCTTCGATTAAAAGTATGTGACGGTCCACACAGAAGCCACGGTCAGTACGTTTGAAACCATCTGAAAATGATTCGTTTAAAAGCCAGAAACATATTTGCTCGATGTCTTTAGGCAAAGGATTTCCAGTGCAGAGGTACACAGCTTCTTCTGTAATGTGCTTTGAGGCCATCTGTGTTGCCTGCACCCATCAAAATGAAAGTTGAAGTGGACCGTTGACAAAAATGTCTAAAAAAGAACCAGGGGACATAGTTTATATTTCATACACTTGACCTTTGAGTGATAAAAATTGATCATTGGCTTTCCTGGCATTGTAAACCTAATCTAAAAGCAACCTCACCAAATTACTAGTACAACAATTAATTGAAGAACAAGAATGGGCCTAATTTCCATAAGAACATCTGAAAAACTAAAAACAAGTGAAAGCTTATTGAAATGCACATGAAAGGGCAACGTAAATTTCCAAACCTGCAAAATATTCAAAGCCTTCCTCATGTCACCGTTGCTAAGCCGTACAAGAGCTGCTAAGCCAGCTTCAGTCACATCAAGCCTGATTTGGTAGGTAGAAAAGTCCAACAACACTTGAAGCATAAGTTGAAATTTAATGAAATGTATCACCAACAAAACGACGTTAAATTTATTGGAACTGTTCTGATGTTAGTCTCCCCTGCAATTTCACTGCAACGCTAAAAAGAAGGATAAAGAAATTACTCAAACTAGCATTTTCCTTCCTTCATAACCTATAAGACTCTGTGTTGGTAATAGGGGGTCCTTCACGGAAAAAGATTACTAACACAAGGGAGCTATATTTCCTTCTATTGAAGCAATGATCTACCTGCATCCAGACCAACTATGTGAAGCTGTAAATCTACTACCTCACACTTTTTGCTTCCTAACTGATTATCATATCGTCTTGTCCATGGATTCTTTTTCCTAAATAAGGAACTTGGCAACACTAGTCGTATGCCTCACTTGAAATTCACACTAGACCATTTCATGGCCAATTTCCCCTCCAACAGAAGTCATAGTATAGCTTGGTTTCGTTGTTTTATAGAAAATAGTAAGCTAATACCGTCCAAAAATGCTTTAACTTATGTGCTACTGTGATAGTACCAACTATTTTGATATATGAGCGAGAATAATATACACCAAGGAAAGGCAAAATCAAATCACACAGTAGAAATTGATATGAATTATGAAGTGAAAAGAATAATCAGACTTACTGTTCAGACTCTATGACGTGTCTCAATCGTCCACTGACGTGAACGGGATCAAGGGGAGCAAATCGGAATCGCGTACATCGAGATTGTAGTGCCGGAATAATTTTGTTCACATGGTTACAGATGAGTGCAAACCGTGTACTCTTTGTGTATTTCTCAATCACTGCAGAAAAACCAGGTGTGCATTCAACAGAATGTCAGCAAAACAAGAAAATCAACCTTGAACATGATTAATTCTGGTAATTTGTACCTCTGCGCAAGGCGAACTGTGCATCCTTAGTCATAGCATCAGCCTCATCGAGTAAAACCAACTTCACAGATGACCTAGGACTACAAATAAACAGAAAACAAGAAATTCAGCCAACACTTGTCACAGTGGACTCAAAACTGAAGCTAAACTCGAAAATCAAAGGGAACCGATCCTTCTGAACATTTTTCTTTAAACAGATCATGGTAGCCATTGAGAAACAAGCCATGATCTTTTTACCAACCCTTAAGAGCAAATGAAGATTGGTAGAATTGGCATCCAACTGGTCACGTCAAACACATAGACTACAGCAAACACCCCTCTTCACCTCTATCCCATTATTCAAAGACAATGTGGAATCTTTAAAAGTGAATAGCCCGTCTAGGGCTTGCCCTTGAGCATCTATCATTGAGCATTCATTGCTTTATCAAATGAATTTAGGGGAAACCAGGATACACAGATTAAGATATTGTCAAGCAACTCAAGCGGCCTGGTAGAACAAAATACCCGAATGAGAAGCTCTGACTGCTAGCAAAGTCTTGTATCTGCTGCCGCACAACATCAATTCCTCTATCATCCGAAGCATTCAGTTCCAGTATCATATTACGGTAGTCAGGGCCGTAGAGTTTGCGCGCCACAGCGAGTATTGTGGACGTTTTCCCCGTACCAGGGGGTCCATACAACAACAGATGCGGCAATTTCTTCTCGTTCGTCAGCCTTTCAACTGTTAAACGCAAACAGAAAGTGAAACCTAATGAAACGAAACCTAACGAAACGAAAGGCAGCTGACAGAGAAGAAGAGAACGAAACCCTAGCTAAAAAGGAAGGGGCGGGGAATCGAAAAAATGATTACTAGTGTCGATAATGTCACGATGAGCGGCGACGTCGTCGAGCGATTGAGGGCGGTACTTCTCGACCCAGGGTGTAGACTTGGGATGGGCAGGAGGATTGCCGTCGACGACGACGGTTTTGCCTTTGGATGACGAGTTGTGTTTGTTCGGCTTCTCGCCATTGTGGTCTATGTCCATCGGCGAGCTAACGTCTGCCATCCCTTTTCGCTTATTTTCTGCTGCTGCTGCTGCCGCTGTGTGGCGTCGTTGGATCTTGCGGCGGTCTGCTGACTACTAGTTTCCCTCGAGAACTCTGCAATTGTGGAGTGAAGGAGCGGAAGGGAATGGATGCTTTGTGGCGCCAAACAGACTTTGTAGTTGGAATTGCGCAGTCAGGAAACCCGCCGAGCCCTCTAGCTGAAAGAAATCGGGCCCGCATAGACCCCGCTCTATATTTTAGTCAGGTTTAATGACCATAACTTTGCACGTTGTTATAATAATAGTCAAATTTTGAAAAATAGAAAGATATAGTCATAATGTAAAAAAAATAAAACTAATTTGACAAATATAGTCATTTCCATTAAAAAACTTAACATTGTTAACTCTTTGTTGATGTGGACGTACACGTAATCTACAAGTCAAATATGAGTCACCTATTGCAAGCCACGTGTCAGCCACCTCATTTTTTAGTGCAATGAAGAAAGATTATCGGGATCTGGAGACTGGCTCCCCCTCACTGCCATTCGCCATCCCTTCCATCCAGCCATCGCAGCCCACCACTCCAATAAAAAACCAAATTTCCTCATAAAACCCTGAACCGACGACATGAGAATGTTCAGCAACCCAATGCCCAAAACCCACCAAGCTTCACGCAATCCAATTTGAAATCCAAAAAATCAAACCCTACATCTCCATCTCTTCCAGCCTATGTGTCGTCATTCCCAAAATCCTTATGTAACCCAGAAATTGCAATGAGGAGAGAAGGAAGAAGTGGAGAAAGAACAGGGAGACCCAAAAATCGAAAAATCGAAAAATCAAACCCTCCATCTCTTACAGCCAGCAATTTCAATTTCTTGTAGGCTATTGGCAACAAGATCTGATGCCTCTGTCTAATCTAGCGCCATAGAGAAAATTGGCTTCTTCCTCTCTCTTTGTAAAATGGGGTTCTATTGTCATTTTGGCTGGATTAAAGCAACCCAGCCCCATTCGTCCTGATCCTTTTCGTCCCAGAACCCAGTCCGTCCGCGTCGAGTCCTTTGTCGCATATATAAATTATCAATCTTCAGTCGGGAAGAAGAGGCGACTGGCGGAAGAGAAATGTAAAGGTATGTGCGACTGGCGAAAATCCATGAGTCGATATGGTACTCGCTCCTCGACGACGGGATGCGGGTGAGGCCAGTGCTCTGCCTCGTCGCTTGCTTCTAGTCGACGACAAAGTTGGTGGATGCGGCCAGAGGATTGGCAACGGCGAGAAGAAGAGGAAGGCCTGGAAGGGGAAGAAGTGTACAGGGCTTCAATGAAGCTATTGGTGGTGATAATTGAAGCGATCTGGGATTTTTTTTAAGGCGGAGAGCTGATTTCTTGAATCAATTGAGGGTAGATTGCTTGAAGGCACGGCGGAATAGAGGTGGAATGTGGAGAGCTTTGAGGAAGAAGAAAAGTACAAAAACGGATGAGATTTTTTAAGGAATTTTCAATTAATTAAAAAAAGAATAATTTCCATCTTGGCATAGTTTTTTATGAAAAATTGCCATGTCAGCAAACATCGTTAGTACAGTCAGCATTTATTACTACTCTGTTAAAGTTATTGACGGAATAACTATATTTGTGTATTTTCCAAAATTTGGCTATTATTGTCATAACGGGCAAAGTTATGACTATGTAGGTGTACTAAACCTAAATATAGCAGCTTTAAACAATTATTAACATTGTGGTCCTGGCAGATGATATGGCGCTATCATGGTGACAACATGGAGCTCTATACATGTAGCGTGTATGAAAAACTAGAAACATAAAGATGCCTCTAGAATTCTCCACCTTTATGAGTTTTATTGTTCACTTGTGAGATACATTATGGGTGGCATTATGAAAGTGCATTATAGAGAGATTTAAAAGGTGTAGTAATTGGGAGGGGCCGTTATGAGGGGACATTAAAAAGGCTCATTCTTCTTCCAAATTGAAGTTGTATTCTTAGCCAATGTTCTCTTCCTCTCCCAAACTTGGCTCGAGATTGGTGTGGCTTGAAGGTTCTACTTTTCTTGAGCTACATGCTCCTTTCTTCATCCTCGATGTTGATGTGACTTGAATCGAACTATCAGCCACTAGGATTGGAAGTCACGGGGGTCTTGCTGAGGATGTTTCTGATGTGCCAGGAACTTCACAGTCCGGTGTAGGAGCTCAACTGTCTATAGCTTCTGGTAGTCCAAAGAGAGCAACTGAAGGAATACCTCCATAGAGGTATGGCTTCCAGGACATGGTGGCGTATGCTTTTCAGGTTGCTGAAGAGGTGGATGCGGGTGAACCACAGTCCTACAGAGAAGCAGTTACGTGTAGTGAAATCGCGCAGTGGCTCGCTCCAATGGGGGTGAGATGGAATCCCATGACGGGAATCAGACTTGGAAGTTGGTCAAATGTCCACGGGGAAGGAAGATTGTTACAAACAAGTGGATCTACTAGAAGAAGGAAGGAATCACTTCTGAAGAGGGCATGAAATTTAAAGCTCGGGTAGTTGCAAGAGGCTTCTTGCAGAGGGAAGGAGTTAACTATGATGAGATTTTCTCACCAGTGGTCAGAATACTTCGATCAGGGTGCTACTAGCGATAGTGCCACATTATGACTTGGAGCTCGAGCAGCTAGACGTGAAGACAACTTTCCTTCATGAAGAGTTGGAAGAAGAAATTTACAAGACTCAGTAGAAGGATTCCAGGTTTCAGGAAAAGAAGACTATGTTTGTAAGCTGAAGAAGTCCTTGTATGGACTTAAGCAATCTCTGAGGCAGTGGTACAAGAGGTTTAACAGCTACATGCTTGAGTTGGGCTACAACAGAAGTCCCTATGATTGTTGTGTATATCACAGTAAGGCAGCGGATGGTTCGATGATATGTTTGGTTCTGTATGTGGATGATATGCTCATAGCTGCAAGGTCGAAGTCTGATATCCAGAGGTTAAAGGGGCTTCTCTGTGCTAAGTTTGAGATGAAGAATTTGAGAGCTGCTGAGAAGATTCTGTGTATGGAGATATACAGGGATAGGTCAAAGAAGAAGTTGTTCTTGTCACAGACGAGCTACATCCAGAAGATATTGTCCATGTTTGGCATGTCTTCAGCAAAACCCTTGAATACTCCTAGTGCTTCGAATGTTTATCTATCCTTAGTTTATGCACTGCGGTCAAAGGCTGAGAAGAAGTGCATGTCGAGAGTCTCATATGCTAGTGCAGTTGGTAGTTTGATGTACTCTATGGTATGCAGCAGTTGGTAGTTTGATGTACTCTATGGTATGCACTAGACCTGATCTTGCACATGTTGTTACCAACCTGAGAAGGAGCATTGGTAGGCTGTGGAAAGGATCTTCTAATACTCGAAGGGTACGTCTAATGTGGGGATTAGCTTCGGAAGTGATACGAAGTGCTTAGTGGCTGGTAATTCATATTCTGACTATGCTGGAGATGTTGACATGAGGAGATCGATGACCAGTTATGTATTCACTCTTGGGAGTTCTGTAGTGAGTCAAAAGGCAACTCTGCAGTCGGCGGTGACATTGTCTACTAGTGAGGCAGATTATATGGCATTGAAAGAAGTTGCTAAGGAGGGAATATGGTTGAAGGGACTGGTTGGTGATCTGGGTCTACATCAAGATCAGGTAGTGGTGTATTGCGACAGTTTGAGTGCAATATGTTTGGCCAAGGATCAAGTCTATCATGAGAGGACTATACACATCGACGTGAGGTATCATTTCTTGAGGACAGAGAAGAGGATTAAGGTGAAGAAGGTTGGCACTGCGGATAATCCTGCTGACGTGTTCACTAAGCCGGTTCCACATGGCAAGTTACAACAGTGCTTGGACTTGTTGAATGTCTTGAGTGGGTGAATCCGCCCTAAGGGGCATTGATGGAAGGAGGAAGAGAAGGATCAGAGGAAGAGGATTCAAGTCAAGGTGGAGATTTGTTGATGTGACTTGAATCGGACTATCAGCCGCTAAGACTAGAAGTCACAGGCCGGGTCTCGCTACCCGGTCAGCGAGTGGGGTCCAAGGTGTATGGGCTCAATGTTATTTGGGTTCTGGTTCTGGGCATGGTTTGTAACCGCTTTTCCTTTACCATATTGGATTAGGGTTAGACCTAGGAGAAGTATTATAAATACTTCTCATACTTCTCTATAATCTGTATCTCCTCTAAGTATAGTGAAACTGACTCTCTTGCCCGTGGACTAGCTAACACACATTGTGTTAGTGAACCACGTCAATCGTGTGTCGTGTGTGTGGTTGCGCTTTCGTTTCTTGCATTGTTGAATCCTCCTATTTCCTGATCTGCAGATAACAATCATGACACTCAAGATGGGTGAACTCATGCCTCCTCCTTCTTGGATGATCTCTTGTACAATCTTTAGCTTTTGTTTTCTTATAGTACGTAATGGACTCATTAGACAATCTACAAACCAAAAGAAACTTAAAACTAAAGAAATACACAACATGATAGATGCTTTTATATGTGATTAGAATTTCCCAACAATGGTGCCAAAAAGTTGATTGCATAACTAATCACACCATACTATCTTAGAAGACCTTGTGGGGTACGATCCTATAACATCCTAGGATTATAACTTCTATATCTGCAATCAAGTTTTTGGCACCATTATCGGGAAATTCTAATCGTATATTGTTTGATCCTGGTTAGTACCAGGCGTTTTGTGGAGCTTACGAACTAAAAAATGGACTCTTAGTAGGGGCGGTCCCGCGTGTCCTGCAAAAAAGGTTCTTAGGGGAACTCCTCTGATGCTTAAGTTAGAGAGGGAAAGTGAAATTGTAGTAAATAAAAGAGAAATAGAGAGAGAGAGAGAGTAGTAGTTGAGAGTTACCATAAATGCTACCAATAGGTGGTATTTATACTCACTTTGGTTACGGCAAGTGCATTAAATGACATGTTAGGCGTCCTATGTTAGGCGTCCTAGGACGCCTGTGAATGTCTTCAAGTTTAACGGCGCTAAAGTCGACTGCTATTTTTACCGCTAGTGGCTTGTAATCACCAGTCACTACGTGCGAACGAGGGCCAGCCTAGCTGGTGAGTCGGCTAGGTTCGTCTGTAGAACGCAATTAATCATAACCCGAGTTTCTGTACAGGCAACATGGTGAACCAACAGAATTTGGCCTCTTCATTCCGGCACAAGAAACTGTAACCATTATTTCTTTATATGGGGTTTCTACGTATCAATCAACCAAAAGAGTCATGTAGCAGCATGTCCTTGTATGTTGTAGGCAGAAGGGCGAAGGCTACCCTTCTCTCTTTTTCTGGGGACACTCGGTACCCGAAATTCACTATTTACATGTACTTATGCATCTTTATAATGCCCATTTCCATGATGGGCAGTTTAACAATACAAACAACAGAAGAAATTATGCTAAACATGGACAAAATCGTAGGGTATTACTATTCCCTTTCCTTCTATAACTACATTCTTTGCTTGCGACTTCTCAGTAAGTCCAAGAAGAAGGGCACTGCTGCTCTTCAAGGATCCCCAAATTGACGGCATAACGCTGACAAATTTCTTTATTATATTCACCTTCGACCAAGCTGTTCAAAAACCACATGAGGCAAAAAAACATCCTCGTGAGAGTTTCTGCCATGCTAATTACATCAATTATGGTAAGAATTGACTGATTGATTAGGGTATATATGGGTTTCAGGACTTGTGAAGCTTGTTGCAGTTGGAAGAGATCCATCCGATTTGCCGCTTCTCATTGTCGTAGATCATCAATTTGTCTTGCATAAAAATGTCTGTAAACAGGCAAGAGGAAGTAAATACGTATGTTGTAAAGGGTCAAACCATGAATGCTCTTCTGATCAAGAACAACTAAACAAACATCTTACCACCAATCACATTGAGATTTCCCAATCCGACTTCGCCACCATTAAGGATTCCCAAGCACACATTTCCACTCTTCTGGAGAGGAGAAAGAAGAGTCAAGTCAAATTATGTGTTCTTACGGAGTTAGAAGGCATAATAGGTTGAAAAGGTGCTTACTGTCACAATCAGATAGTTCTCTGGTGGTACAAGGAGCTGAACATTCTTCGACCTAGTAAAGCTTAGAGCAAGGGGTTTGAAATGGTTCTTTACATCTTGGAGAGATTTGACAGGCTTTGCACCTTTCCAACAGACAGAAAGTGCCTTTTCCTCTGGTGCATCCTTCAGCTTTCCATTCAAATCCTTCTTTATCTAGGGTAACAAGAAAATTAGGCTAAGCAACAAGTTGTCCATTTACCAAATCTGCGTTGATTGCATCAATCTAGTCTTACCATATCGAGTGTGCTTTTGTAGACCGCAGAATTGAAGTAAGTGTAGGAGCTACCACTGTCAAAAATGAGCTGTAGCCCATTTAAACCGGTATGCTTCCCACCAAAGAGAAGTTCAGCTGGTCCGGCCGAGTAGTGTTTCCTGAGAGCAAAAAACCAGTTAGATTGCCGGATAGAATAAGAGATGATCAACTGAAGCAGTATGGGGAATACAAAAAAGTCCCTTACTCTGAGACAGTTTGCAACATAGGAGTCCAGCTCACACCAGAGGAAGGCACGAGATAGTTGCCGAGGAATAGGTATCCACCACCTTGTCCACTAAAACAGTGGCCAATCACATTCTGGAATAGTCCCATGTTCTTCAGTTGTGTAACAATGCTTGCTTTGCCACTCCCAAGCCCAAGGACCCCTGCTGTGGGAGGAGTGCCTGTGATTGGATTCTTCTGATCATATCCACAGCTGCAGCAGCCAACAATTAGTAATCATGAACATAAAAAATAAAAAATAAAAACTTTTAGCAGCAATTTAAGAAACATTTCGAATTCAATAATGTGATACGGTAAGTTTGAGACTGACCCAAATCCTAGGCGGGTGCTAAGGAAGGAGCCATTGATCAAGCGAAGGGGAAAGCTGTCAGCTACCAGCACACCAAGAGATGAACCATGATCAGCATATTCAACCTCATAGTCACATTGTTCACTAGGCTCTGGACAATTGATCTTTCCAGTTGAGTGAATCGAAGAGCAAAGGTTGTGCCCACAGGGGATCAAATTGTTGTTAGGCTTGTAAAGACTCTGGCGAGGCTGCACACAGGAGAGCGAAAGAACACTCATATAAGTCTGAATAATGACAGGATCCGCTCAGTATCATCATGCTTCTTATACTGCTGAAAGTCTATTAACGGCCACTCAGTTGTTTCATTCATTTTACCTTGGTGCAGCCGGTGCAAGGGGCATCACATTGGACCCAAGTAAGGTCGCTACCAGTGTCGATATCTAGCTCGAAGGCCTTTGGTGGATTGCCTATGTTTATCGAGACAGAGTAGTACCTGCAAAATTGCAGAGATATTTGGAACCCCATGTTTTAACACTAGATACCATCATCACCATGCGCACATAATATAAACAACTGATCTTGATATAGCAAAACCGAGTCGAGCTAGGAAATTAGAGTCTAAATATTCAGTTAACTAGAGATGCAAGTGAGCCTCATGTGAAGTGCAACCACCATTTGGAAAGAGATGCCAGGAACAGATTATTAAAGGCAACGATAAGTCAAATGGGATAAGAGTTGGGGAACGATGAACCCCAAGATGCAACTTAAGAAGAAGAACAAAGACGCCTGAAACAAATACGCCACGATGACATGCAAATGGATTGCAGAAACAATCAACAGGGAAATTGGCCAAAAGCGAAAACTTGCTTGCCTAGAGAATCAAATGAAACTTGTAGTACAAACACCACTGTAGCAATCCACCAAAACCCACAAAGATAAAAGGACTGAGCAAAACTGCAATTGGAAAAGAATCGCAAGGCAAAAAAACCCAAATTGACTAAAGAGAGAGGGAAACCAGCAATTGGAGAAACTAGAAGAGCAAGAAAGGAGAAGAGAAGGGAAGGAAATGCGTACCCAAGTGGGTAAACATTGCCATTGACGGTGAAAACGGCGGAATGGCCAATTGTACCGCCAGCACCAGCGGCGGCCTTCTTACCACCGGTGAGAAGCCTGAGCCCAGGAGCTGTTGCGCAAAAGCAGCCATGTAACGCCGCCGCAATGATCAAAGCAATCGCCAAGCCCACCGTCGGCGCCCTGCTTGCTCCCCAACTTTTCCCCATCTGGTTCCCCTAAAGCGGACTGATGCGACGGCGAGATTCTGGATGAAGCCAGGAAAGGGGGGGAAAGACCCGGAAAGGAAAAGAAAGAGTTTGAGGTCGACTTGGCTTTTGGGAGGGGAAGAGTGAGAGAGTATCTGCCTGTCTGGGGGAGGAGGCAGTTTCCACGTGTATTTACGAGAGAGCAGGAAAAAGGGAGAGGAGCCGAAGAAGAAGAAATAGTGGGAGAAATTTGGGAACTGGGGGTTTTGTCTTTTCTTTTTCTTTTTTATGGATGGGGAATTGGGGATTTTGACTGGTGAAGGAAAAGGATAGGATAGGAAGGAAGAAGATGAACCCAGGAGCTGGAAGACGAAGACTTCAAGCCGTATTTATTTATTTATCATTTTTATTGAGCATAGTAACTAATAATTTAACAATTACTCGGAAACTTCATGGCAAGAGCAGAGGAGGTGGGGCCTACAGTCGCGCCGCGTGATGAACGCGCGAACTTTTCTGACGCGGGCACGCGGTAAACTCGAATGTAAGAACCATTCGCGAGAGTTTGGGCCGACTCCAGGGCCCGAAAGCCTGCCCCGTGATTGCCCCACTGATACAATCCTACTGGACCTCGCCCACTGGAGCAGGTGGGGGAGTCAATCTTGTGTGATAATGAGCGGGCTTGATAGTGATACGAATCTTTACCCAATCTCTATGTTACGTGACAGTTTTAGTTTCATTTTTTTAATTTTCTACGAATATATTATAGAAAAGTTGAAGGCAGTATTTCAGCATTTCGAATTTTCTGCAACGAGAGCAAAAGTAGGAAGGATAATTATGTCTTCACAATCATTATTTATTTTTCATTCACAGCCTGTTTGGAAATGCTAAATTTTGAGGAAATGAAATTCCAATTCTCAAACTTTTCATGATTCTCATGTTTGGAAGTAAAAAGTAAAATGGAAATAGAATTCAAAAAGGTAAAAATTTGGAAATTCTAAATCCTACCAAAAGTGGTCGGAATTGGTGGAGGAAGTGATGGAATTAGTGGAGCCCACATTAATTTTGACTCACATTTACAAGAAAGCCCTTACTACTTTTGGATTTGAAATCATTAATACCAAGGATATTATTGTAAAAGCACTTTTAAGAAATCATTTCAATTTTTTTCCAAACATAAAAGGATGAAATCATTTCCCAAACTTTTGGATTTGTTCAAAACATAAATTCTTGAAATGAATTCCCACTTGAATTCAGATTCTCACAAGAAATGGAATTCATTTTCCAACAGAATTATATCCAAACAAGCTGAGGAAAAAAAACCATCAACCTCAGGATTCGAACCATGATTTTTCCAAACGAAGACAACAACCATTACCAGTTACACTAAAAAAATACTTTGTATCTTTTCAAATACAAAATCTAAAAACCTAAAATCTAAAAATTATATGAGTTTTCCACTATTGTTAGCTAGCCCACTAATTCGCCAGAAAGTACTTTCTTTGTTATTTGATATTTTAATTATTTTAATTTGAGTTTAATAGTAAATTTAATTTATGTCCTCTTATAAATGAAGAATAAATTTCAGGCCAAACTAGGGTATTAATCCTTTTTTTTTTGTTAATTACATCACATACCATACAAGTATTGAGCTTGTTGTATACTGACTCCTTATATTATTTTAGTTGCAACTAAATCATATAAGTCGACTTTTAGTTGTATTGTTACATTTTTTGTCCCTAAATTTAACGGTGGGTACCATCTTGCAGTTTTTTCATTCCACAAACATTCCAACTCATCCTAAGGTTGGCCATAAAAATCCAGGTGTGTCCTTTGGAATCATTAACTAATTCCCTCTACTCGTTGCACCTTGCACCGCATTCGTCGTTGTTTGGCATACTTGTACTCTTCTCTCCGTTCCGTATGCACCATCGTATGAAAGTTTTTTTCCTCGTATTTCAATACCTTCTTCAATGTCGCTGAACGACTTGTTGAGTGGCACTAATGGAGATAACCCTTGTCAATCCCGACTCTGGCCCTCCCGGTGACCTTCAGCCTCCCCTTACCCGCCTCAACACAGAAAATAAAGAGCAATTAACCCTAAAAATAAATTAAAAAACAAAGCCTGAAAATTTACCTTAAACAATTAGTAAATAAATTCGGAACTGGAAGAGAGAAACTTATAGTTTGAATAATTCCTTAATTCTCAAATCCAACATGCAATTCAACCAAAAACCAAAATTGGACGATCATGAACAGATGGGAGATCGAATTAAAAAAGATACATTACAAGAAAATAACCTAATTAATCACCCGATTCTACATGCCTCGCTTGAATGCTCAAAAAATCACCTCGTAATTTCATCACAATCAAGAAAAGGAAGGATAACTAGAAGTTTTCCCCACTCCTCTCTCTCTCTCTCTCCAGTTACCCTCACAACGCCAATCAGAGGAAGAAGAAGCCTCTCGACTCTCTCTCTCTCAATATTCAAAAGCTCTGCCTTCTCTCTAAACTGTAACTTTTCAGTCCTCTGTTTTGTGTACAGGGCTGCCGTCGGTGCCGACGGTGGCCCTCCCTCTCTTTATTTCCCGTTTTTTATGTTTTTAGCTTTCGTTCCTTTGTTTTTCTGATCTCAGTGCTTCCTTCTTGGAGCTTTTCTCTCTTCCTCTTCTCTGAAGATGGATGTTTCCTTTCCTCCTCATGTTTGATCTGCCAGATCTGAACATTGAGATGATTTTGCTTGAGACAGAGGGGGTTCGGATTCTCTCAACTAGCTTTCTCGGTTCTCGAATCTGAGCCTCCTCCTTGTTTCACCTCTATGGCTGGGTGTTTCGGAGAAGCTTCTGGGAATCCTATTGTGACTCTCCCTTGGTTTCAGCTTCGGGTAACTTGAATGCGGGGAACATTCAACATAGGGGCTCAAGATTTGTTTCTTCCTGGAGTCTTCTTCGATCAACTGTGTGCGTCTTCTGTGGGTGGTTTCGTCTCTTCAGGTTATCATTTTCTGGTGTTGCAGCTGATGATTCTGTTTTTGGGCGATCTTCCCTGGTGCTGTGGGCATGCGAAGTTGATTGAAGGCTGGGTGGTTCATCGGAGGCGGATCTTGGATCGCGGCATGGATGACCACGACGGCTGCTCATGGAATGGAAGATTGATTTTGGGATTAGGGTTTCTTGTTCAGACCATAGTCTGGTTGGGCTTTGCTTTACTTGGTGTGGTTTGTCTGTTGGGCTCTTGTCCTTATGTAGTTTGTTCCTTCCTTGGGCCTGGCCCATGTATCTGTCCACCATTGTGGAGTCTTTATTCGATGAACTCCTTATTAAAAAAAAAAAAAAAACTAGAAGTTGATTTTTGCAGAGGAAAATAGAAAAAGGAAGGATTTATACTTTTTGCATTCGACATCGGTGATCCCAAGTTTGAGAACGTCAGAAGCTAGCCTTGGCTCGGCATGGCCCCCATTACTCATTTCCATACTTATGGATTTCATGGACTTTGTCTGCGAGGGTGCGGCAAAAGGCAAAGGCGTGGCTCTCCATTACGTTTAGATCCGATGGGCCATGTCTTTGAAAAGACGGTGAGCTCGTCGATGTGAGGCCAAAATAGAGCTTGTTCCTGGGGAAGTTGTGTCGCGAAGGTCTTTGGGAAAGGGTTGGACGAAGGAGCGATGAAAAATGATAGAGAAGGAGAATGGAAAAGCTTATGTGAATTTACTATTTAGTAGTTCACTATCTGACTCGGCAATTCGGTTGAGCTAGAATACCTATGTGGAATGGAAAACTGCAATTTGGTACCCATCGTTAAATTTAGGGATGGAAAATATAACGACGTAACTAAAAACCAACTTATATGATTTAGTTGCAACTAAAATAATATAAGTGGTAAGTATGAAACAAACTCAATACTTATATTATATGGTGTGTGGTGCAATTAACCCTATTGTTTTTAAAAGGGTTAATAGTATTTCGTACCATTTTACTATTATCGATCAAAAGACATAATCATTAATTTTTTTCATAAATATACCCTTATAATATTAGAACGTAACGATTTCTCTTATTGCCCCTCATTATATCATAATTTTGATATAATTAATTTTTATCCCTATACCAATTCTAGTATCACTATTTTTCATTCATAAAGTGTTTCTCCTTCATTTTATGGGGGGAAAAAATAGAATTTTGCATGTATATTTTCAATTGACTTGTAAGAGTGGGTCGACCGGCCCCGTACCCGCGCGGGTATTTCCCGCTCCGATCGACCGAAGTAGCGTGGGGTGGGCATGGGTATTGAGGTACCCGTCCCACCCCATTGCCATCACTAGGCTCACATATGCAATTGCAAGTTAATTGCATTGATGTAGGTGAATAGGATTAGTGTGAGTTGGATTGCAAAAAAATTGAGTTGACAATAAAGAGCACAACTGCAATTGTTTTTACAATTGCATTGATGTGAATGTTCTAATTGATCTCGAATTGAAGCTCTTACAATTCATTAATATTGTTTTGACAATAACTTATTGAACTTAATTTTCTTGAAACAAGTGTTTCTAAACATCAATTAAGATTTACAACCATTTATTCAAATTTATAATAAGGACACTGTGTTTACCCAAAATCATGAGTGTATCATATAGTCGCCACAAGGATTTTGTTCCTTTTTGCAAATACTTCTTTTGTTATATTACAATGAGGGGAGAACATTAGCGAGCGTGAAAATTTGAGAGTAGTAAAATAATGAGAGAAAAATGGTGTTTAATTTTGAGAAAGAAAAAGGAAGGGAATATATTTGAGGGTAGCAGCACATTGGAGCAGAATCTAGCAGCAGTGCAACAGTGTATCTCTTTGGAATCCCAGTTTTTGGTCTACTAGTGTTTTTCTTCCACCTAAGGGAAAAAGGGACTATGGATCGGACTTCAAAGTTGGGGTTACTTTTCAAACACTTCTTCTAGATGTGGGCACATCTTGCACCAATTGGGAAAAGCATGTTTGTATATTTGATTCTGGTGCTTAAGAAATGAAGAAGGTGTACTAGTGCAATTAGTATGCTTTACTTCGTTTCATCAGAATACCACATGACACTTGTTGTTAAAAGTGCATAACATAATGTTCAATCCTGTCGCGTTTGGATCCTTAACTTTAACAGCTTATCTAACTTGTACATCCAAATAGAATGAATTCCGACTCTGTGCAGGTAATGTATGGGATGACAAAGAGCATTCAGGGTGAAACCTTGAACATCAGATGGGTGGAGTTAATTTCCCACAATACTGTGGGCAAGTGAGGAAGGGAAACCAGTCGACTGACCAGACATAACTCAGATAATTGTAATGTAGTTCTGAATAGTGAGGTCAATAATGGTTGCTGCTGAAATCTGCTTTTCATTGCACAAAGTAGAAACAAGTCAACAATTCATCAACTACCAAAAGGACCACCAATATTATCTCTGCTGATAAACATGGCATCCACTTATTACTTATCCATTCACAAGGTCCAAAGATGTCTTTTCCAACTTTGCGTTACTGTCAAGTTGTATATGCAGTGCAAATTTGGTAGTATAAATAGAATGCTGAAGTTCCCAATCCCAGCCACCTTCCCTTGCACTTCTTTCGTCTTTTTCTTTCCCTAGTTTACTTTTTGTCATTAGGGAAGAGATCATGGTGAGGAAGGAGAATAAGTTGTTCATTGCTTTCACATGGCTGCTGGTAGGGCTGTCACTCGGTCGGTTTCGGTTTAACCGAAAATCGAATTGTCGGTTATCGGTCAAACCGAGACCTCGACCAGAGCTACCGCCAACCGACCGTCTGTGAGCCTCGGTTAGTCGCAAACCGACCGATCGGTTTCCGGTTTCGACTCGGTTAGCCGGCCAACCGGAAATTACCTTTAAAAAAAAATTAAAAGCAACAAAAAATCTGCACCACACACTCCTAACCTAACCCCTCCGTTTCTCGATTCTTCTTTCCCCTCCGTTTTCTCGATTCTCTTCCCAGACCATCTCTCTCTCTCTATTCTCTTCTTCCTCTGGAAGGAAAATCGAAAAACCAACTCCCTCGATTCTTCTTCCCAGACTATCTCTCTCCCTGTTCTCGCCTCCTCCCTCGATTCTCTCTCTCGATTCTGCTGGTGTTGGCGAAGGGGGCGCGGCGCGGCGACGGGGGCAGGGCGCGGCGACAGGCGCGGGGCGCGACGACTGGCGCGGCGACGGGAGCGAGGTGCGGCGACGGGCGCGGCGACTGGCGCGGCGCGAGGATCTGGCCTCCATGCAGAGGAAGAAGAGTCAAAGGAGTTAACCGAGGAGGAGAGGTGAGGAGGAGGAGGAGAGGTGAGGGTCGGATCTGCTGTGGAAGGATTTGTAGGAAGAAAGAGAGAAGAAGAGTCGAAGGAGTTAGGAAGAAAGAGAGAAGCTGGAGTGGAGGGGTCACCTTCTCTTTTTTATATTTTCGGTTGTGGGTCGGTTGGCCGGTTAGTCGCGGTTAACCGACTTCGGTTACTCGGCTAACCGGACCCCTGATTTCCTCTACCGCCAACCGACCGCCCTCTTCGGAATCGGCTTTTCGGCTAGCCAAAAACCGGTCAGTTCGGTTGAAACCGACCGGTTAGCCGCTAACCAGAAAACCGTCCGCCAGCCCTAGCTGCTGGTGGTGCTTATTGTGGCCGCCATTGCTGTTAATGCTGTCCCTGCCACTCGCCAACAGAGCTTCGAGCATCTGGTTCAACCCCAAGCAGGTATAAAATAAGCTCGCAACTTGGTTTCCTTGTCTCTTTGTAGTTAGCATGACCACCATTTGTGACATTGTTGAAGGTTGCCGCTGCTGCAATTTTGTTGGGAGGGTCCCCAATCTCAGATGTGGGCGAGTTTGCTGCGTGGATGGCTGTTGCTAAATTATGGTGGTGATGAGTGAATTATGAATATCATGATACGATGGTGGTGGCTTTGTGATAAACCGAATAAATAAAAATTTTCTGGATTTTCCCTCGAAATGGTATCACGACTGACTGACTAATGTATCAATATACAAGATCACGTCGTCATTTCAGTTACTTTAATGTAAGTTTCGAATAAAGGGTACGGTCTATTTTCTATCCAAAAAAATTTCAGATTTTTTATATTATCCAAACCTATTAAAATGCTATTAATTATCCAATTCTTTCGTAATGTATCAAAATATTAATCATTTTTATATTATCGTTAATAATTTTGTAACTCTTTTCTTGGTTAAAATACTGAAATTTTGGAATGTTGACATTCATGTGTCTCTTCCAATTCAGTATCATATTGTCAAATCAATATTACTAACAAAATTGCTAACGGAAAGTTAACATTTGGTTCATTCTTAATATTTCGATATCTTTAGATAATATAAAAAAATCTGAAAAAAATCTGAATAAAAACTAGGCATTACCTTCAAATAAACTACTCATGATAAGTATTTACGTGTTGGCCGTCACCATTCATTATAGTCGAACTTTAAAATTCTTTTTTTTTTTGTAGTAAGACGGAGCGAGAAGGCGCTCCAAACCTTTAGTAAGTAATCAGCCTAGGCGTTTGAACACCCATACAATCATGGAGTAACCAGAAATTCAGAACATCAGTAGGGGTCTGTATCATGTGCTCGCCCACTGCATGTGAGTGTCCCTTTGACGCCAGGAAATCAGCCGCAGCGTTCGCTTCCCGGTAGATGTGTTTGAGGACGACCTGCCAGGCTCTCTCCAACAACCTGCGAACTTGCATGACGAGCTGGTAGTGCGGACTGCTCTCTGTCGCAGCCTGAACAAGGTCAATCGCCACTCTCGAATCCGTCTGGACCTCGACCTTTCGTGCTCCCACCTCCCAAGCTGCCCGTAAACCAATTACAATAGCCATCAACTCCGCCCGCGTTATAGATCCTCCACCCAGGTTGGCTGTAAAAGCACTCACGAAACGTCCATCCTCCTCTCGAATTACTCCACCCGCAGCTGCACTCCCCGAAGCATTAATGACTGACCCATCCGTGTTGAGGCAGTGCCAACCCGTCGGCGGTGGGGTTCAAGAGATAAGCTCTCGCCGTCGAGCTCGGGCTTGTTCAAAGATTTGCTCCTCCTTAGCCCAAGCACTCTGAATCTGGGTCTGCATCCTACGGGCATACTGCTGTACTGCCGAGACCTCCCCCAGAACCTTTTCAAACACCCAAGCATTTCTGTTTTTCCATAACGCCCAGCACACCACCGCAAATAGCATAGCATCGATCTTTGTACTCCTCCCTGTAAGATAATGAAGAAGCCAACGATTCAGTTCCTCCTGGAAGAAAATAGCGTCGGATTCCCCCTCCAGAAATGCTGCCCAGGTAGCCCTTGCATAGGAACAGTCTCTTAGCACATGAAGGGTCGATTCTGGGCCATTTCCACAAACCTGGCAGGCATCTGACGAGGCCAAGTGTCTTCTGCGTCGCTCGTCGTTGGTGAGGAGACGTTGATGGGTTGCCAGCCAGAGGAACGAGCAGATCCTCTGCGTCGCCGGTGTTTTCCACACCGCCCTCCACAATCGATACTGTCCAGTTGGTCCTTCCTCGCCAGCTGTCAGCTCATAAGCCGTCTTGATAGAGAATTTCCCCGAGTCCGTCAGCCTCCAGATTGGGACATCCGGGCTCATTCCCTGGGGCGGCGGATGCAGCTGTACTTGCTGTACAAGCTCTGATGGAAGAAAAGCTTGGAGATAAGCTACATTCCAATTGCCATTGAGGGTCAATTCTGCAACTGTTTGCGACCGTGCTTCCATAGGCAAATTTACTGCAAGTTCGGCCAGCGTTGGGCCATCCTGCAACCAGCGATCTTCCCAAAACAAAGTGGTCGATCCGCTGCGTACGTTCCACATCAGAGCGTCTGGGAGGAAATGAAGAACCCGTAAGACCCCCCCTCCACAGATTGGAAAGTCTGCCTGTCGTACGAGGTTGCCAGCTGTTCCCCACCTTACACAGATACTTTGCTCTAATAACTTGTGCCCACAAACTCTCCTGCTCCGTTAAGAGCCGCCATGCAATCTTGAGCATGAAAGACTCATTCATTCTAGTAGCGCCTCTCAGACTGAGCCCGCCTTCCTCTTTTGGTCTACAGAGTGTTTCCCAGTCTATAAGGTGGATCTTTCGTCCCTGTTCAGAGCTCCCCCACACGAAATCCCTAATCTTCTTATCAATGTACTCCCTGACGCTAGCCGGAAGAAGAGATGTCTGCATAGTATAGGCTGGTAGCGACGACAGTACCGATTGTGCAAGAGTTATCCTAGCAGCAAGACTAAGGGACTTCACCTTCCAACCTGCTAGTCGGGCGTCAATCCTGTCAATCAGTGCTGAGTAAGTTGCCTTCGAGACTCTATCATGGATCACCGGGACTCCCAAGTACCTGCCCAGATTCTTCGTTTCTTGTATCTCAAGTGCCGCACTAATCTGGGTAGCTTGATTGACTGAGACGTTCCCCGAGAAGAAAACACGGGACTTCGGACGACTAACTTGCTGCCCCGACGCTGCTCCAAACTTCTCAAGAAAATCCTGTATAGAAGCTACCTGCTCCGCTGAAGCCTCTCCCATCAAGATGAGGTCATTTGTAAAAAATAAATGAGACAAAGCTGGTCCCTTCTGAGAGATCTTGATGGGATTCCAGGTCTTGTTTGCCACCGACTCACGAATTAGATGACCGAGCCGTCGAACTTTAAAATTCTTGTTAGACATGATAAAAGAGTTTGGTTCCCCGAATTAAAAGGAAATTATACAGTAAAGTCAGGTTACGATCAGCTCCCAAATCCCAATCCCTAAAACAAGAAAGACATATTATAACAAATCCAGCTATGACAAGATTACGAGCAATTAACATTAAATGACTTTAGACATATATATATAGAGAAAATGCTAGCGTACGCCTAGCGTTGTTCTCACACTTGATTTTTGCACTTCAATATATTTCGCTAGTGTACGTCAGGCGTATATTGTCGAGTTTCACTATTTAGAACACGAATTAATAGGAGTTTGGGGCATGATACTATAACCTAACCTCTAAATTCTCTAACCTAAGCGACAAGATTTATTTAATCTAAAAATAATAACAACCGACGGTTCTGATTCAACGAAATATATGGAAGTGCAAAAACCAAGTGTGAACACAGACGTATACTAGCCTTTACCATATATATATATGGTGGCGTCTTCAGTGCACTCACTTTTTTGGGTGCATTCAGTGCACTCACTTCATAACCGTCATTTTAAACACGTGATTCACGTCAAAATGATGTCAATCATCACTTATGATGTGATGAACAATAAAGCACATGAATTTGCACAAAAACTATTCAAGATTTACTTTAATTTGAAGGATTTAGAGACTAGAGATTTAGGGTTAGGTTTAGGGTTTACAGTTAGGGGTTTAGGGATAGAACTCAAAATTGGAGGTCTAGGGCTTAGGATAATCTGCTAATTAGTTGTTATCATATGCTATATCATCATATTACACTAATTCTACAAATTAAAATTCAAAATACGACACCTTAAGACTAGTTTTTGAGCTGGTGCATTGAACGCACTCATTTTTGTGAGTGCACCGAAGTAGGCTTCTACGGTACCCAGGGTGAAATCCCGGGTACCGCATACCTTGAGTAAGAAAATGCTATCCAGGACTTGAATTGACTAATCTTTCAGACATAATACTATACTCTAACCCTTAAAGATCAAAATCTAGGTCATAATTCTCTAAATCGTATACCCCAAGATCAATTTAATTAGAAACAATAATCGACGGTTATGATTCGTCCAAATATAGACAAAAAAATCAATGCATCATATTAGAGTTTATATTTTATGATTTAGATAATTAGGACCTAGGTTTCACTCATTAAGGATTAGGGTATAATATCTTGTCCAAAAATCCTGCTAATTCGAGGTCTAAATAGCGTTTTCATACTCAAGGTATGTGGTACCCCGGATTTCACCTGGGGTACCGTAGAAGGCACCACATATATATATATATATATATATATATATATATATATATATATATATGGCAAAGGCTAGCGTACGTCCGGGCGTACACTAGCCTACCGTACGCCCCATTGAGTTTTGCTATTTAGACAAAGAATTAATCGGAGTTTGGTACATGATACTATACCCTAACCCCTAATGGGTGAATCCCAGTCCCCAATTCACTAACCCAAAGCATGGGATTCGTTTAATCTTAAAAATGAAAATCAACGATCCTGATTCGTCGAAATTTTCATTGATTTTCAATTTAAGATTAAACGAATCTCATGGTTTGGGTTAGAAAATTAGGGATTGAGGTTTACCCATTAGAGGTTAGGGTATAATATCATGCCCCAAACTCCGGTTAATTCATGATCTATATAACAAAACTCAATGGGACGTACGCTAACCTAGCGTACGCCCGGGCGTACACTAGGCTGAACCATATATATATATATATATATGGGGAGTTCTACGGTACCCCGGGTGAAATCCGGGGTACCGCATACCTTAACTAAGAAAACCCTATCTAGAACTTGAATTGACTGATCTTTCGGACATTATACTATACTCTAACCCATAAAGATCAAAATCTAGGTCTTAATTCACTAAATCTTATACCCCAAGATCAATTTAATTAGAAACAATAATCGACGGTTATGATTCGTCCAAATATAGGCAAAAAAAGTAATGCTCCATCTTAGGGTTTATAGTTTATGATTTAGATAATTAGGACCTAGGGTTCACTCATTAAGGGTTAGGGTATAGTATCATGCCCAAAAATCATGCTAATTCGAGGTCTAAATAGCGTTTTCATACTCAAGGTATGCGGTACCCCGGATTTCACCCGGGGTACCGTAGAAGTCACCATATATATATATATATATACACATACATGGTACCGTATATATATACATATGGTGCATTCTAGGGTACCCCGGGTGAAATCCGGGGTACCGCATACCTTGAGTATGAAAACGCTATCTTGACCTCAAATTAACTGGATTTTTGGGCATGATACTATACCCTAACCCTTAATGAGTAAACCCTAGGTCCTAATTATCTAAATTATAAACTATAAACCCTAAGATGGTGCATTTATTTTTTTGCCTATATTTGGATGAATCATAACCGTCGATTATTTTTTCTAATTAAATTGATCTTGGGGTATAAGATTTAGCGAATTAAGACCTAGATTTTGATCTTTAAGGGTTAGAGTATAATATCATGTCCGAAAGATCAGTCAATTCAAGTTCTGGATATCGTTTTCTTACTCAATATATATATGTCTAAAGTCATTTAATGTTAATGATTTTCCACTTCTATGCATCTTTTACTAAATCTGACATGAACTGGTTTAGCAGTAGCATACCATTTGCAAAACAGACATTAGTTAGGGGGTGTGCAACGGTTCGGTTCGGACCCAATTCATGAGAACTGCAATCCAATAGTGAAAGATATTTTAGGATAAAAAACAGTCATTATGAAAAAAAATTCGGACCAACATTGTATTTGGTTCTTCATTCAGGTTCAAATGTCACTTCGATTAAGTTTTCTTCGGTATTTATAAAATTTACAGGATAAAAACTGAACATTTGATTTGATATAATATGGTTCAAACATCAGTTAGGTTGGGTATGGGTCAAATCACTTTGGACTGAACCAGTATACACTCCTAGATACGGGTGGAAATCGGCACTGTATCGGTATTCCAATACCAAATACCGAAATCCCGAATACCGAATTACACTCTAAAATCATCCCAATCCTAATCCCTAAATATTTCGGTATCCTAATCGGTACTTCGGTATCCCAATTGGTATAACCAAATACAAAATTAATTATCTTTACAATTAATAATTAAATATATAAATTAGATTTTATTGTTTAATTTAGGGCAAAGAGACTAAGCAAAGAGTCTTGAGTTTGCCTAGAGCTAGGATATGGATAAAGAGAATGGAGGAGATGTGACATCTCAAGTTCTTGTCATTAGTAATCTTTAATTTGACGAATTGGAGGTTGAGAGACGACTAATACTAGTGTTTGATTTTTGGATGAGGGACGAGAGTGACTTAAATTGGAAAGTCAAATTTGAGTTGGATGAGAACTTCTAAGTTGTGAAATACCGATGGAATGATCTATGTATAATTAAATGACACTCTTGGTGGTTGAAGGTCGTGTAGTAGTGAGTGAGAGAGTCTAGTTGAGAGGATAAAAAATACACACTAGCTTATATTTCGATATTGATCGCTAGCTATTTCAGTATTTACCGATCTCAATCTCGTAATTCCTAATACCGAATAACAATTGAAATTCAATCTCAATCTTGATTTCAAGAAATAATACATATATTCGGTAATACCAAATGTAGACAAATTCGGTACGGTATTCAATATATCCCAAATACCGTACCAAACTTCCAACCCTACGCCTAGACACTACGGTATAACCCGGTCTGATAACGTTGATATAGCAAAACATCCGGCAGGTAACACTGTAACAGTACAGAACAGCACACCGTGTCCAGTTCAGTTCAGAGAGCTTTCTGCTTCGTATTTTTGCCGGAAGTGGAATCATACATATATTCGCCGCTCTGCCTTTTCAATCTGTGCCCCCTTCTGTAGCAAAGCTCCGTCTCTCTCTTTCTTCCGTCAATGGCATCTCTGCTAACGTCTCCATCTACTAAGCAGTACCTGGCATCCTCGTCTCTTTTCCAGCACTGCAATCTAAGCCGATGTGGCTACAAAACAACTAACCTCTCCTTCTCCTCTTCCTCTATTTCTCTGCCTCAGCCCCAGCAAGGTAAAATTTCATGGGTTTGCACCCGGGATTTGCTTTTGTATACTGTAAAATCAGAATGTCGGTTTCATTTCGGCGAACAAAAATTTCCAGGGTTTGCCAATGCTCCCACTCTTACTGCCGTCGGGAGGTCCCGCCGCCACTCATCGTCGTTTCTGGAAGCACCGGAAGCTGTTAGGCATCTCGTCGGATCACTTAACCGAACTGAAGGCCTCCGTTTTGCTGTGGTGAGTTCTCGATTAGGTCTATCTACTGCATAATCGTAGATTAATCATTTGACTTTCTCGATTGATGCATTTGCGCAGTCTGATTATGGTGAATTTGATTGGTTTTTTGTTTTCCATGGGAAAGGTCGTTGCCCGGTTCAACGAGATTGTGACTAGGCGGCTTTTAGAGGGAGCTATCGAGACTTTCACTAGGTATTCCGTCAAAGAAGAAGACATCGATGTATGACGACGAAGCTCTTGCAATCCTCCTGAATTCCTTTGTTCGTGCCTTTTCTTTCAAATGCTTACATATCTAGCATGGAATCTCCATTTCATTTTTCAGGTTGTGTGGGTTCCTGGTAGTTTCGAAGTGGGTGTTGTTGCAGAGAAGCTAGGTAAATCAGGGAACTATAATGCAGTGCTGTGCATTGGAGCTGTGGTAATGATAAAAAAAATTCTTCCTGTGCATTTGATTGTTTTCTTGGTCAGTGGGTTTGGCATTATAGCTTCTTGATAGCATGTAAATGCTTGAACTCTATGTTCTGTATAGATAAGAGGTGACACCACACACTATGATGCTGTTGCAAATTCCGCTGCATCTGGAGTACTCTCAGCTGGTCTCAATTCAGGTTCGTGGAGATTGTTCTTAGTTTCTTTTTCATGTTTCGTAAGTGACAATTGGTATCTTTTCATTTTATCGCTTTTGATTTGGACATGTTGACTTGCGAAGTAATATTTTCTTAAATCGTTTGGGTGTTTCGTTGGGTTTTTTGAGTGAGTGATATTTGCAATAACATGCAATGGCAACATGGTTGACGTTTTTGTTTGAACTTCGTTCAAAAGTGGGTGTGGGTATTTGAATCCTTTTTGGTTATTTGTGAGTTGAGTTGCACGATCGGTTAGAGAAGGCTACTGTTTAGAAGTAATGATTTACTCCCTTGCTCTGTGTCTCACATGTCTAGAGGAGTAGAGGTACAGGATTGTTTTAGCAACCTGTTTTGCTTGCTTGCTGTTGTACCCTGTGCACAACAAAGACTTCCTACTTGGAATCAATGATCACCAGGGTTTGTGTGGTCCCTAGGACTGCCAATCGGGCTGCCCATAGTGTGGCAATAAAAGCCCTTTCTCTGTCTAGTTTTAGAGTTGCTTTCATTTGATTTTGTTACTTTGGGTGGGAGGGATTATAGGGTAGGCGTTTTTCTAACATTATTATATTGTCATATCTCAGAATAAAAAATAAAAAAATCAATGATCACCAGCGGCTAGTGATCATCCCTCTCTGGCTTTGTGGTTCAACAGCAGCGAGAGAAGCATTTGATTCTCGCGTTCACTTACACCTGATTGCAGTAAACTGGGTTTTTGGCATTTGGAAATAGTATAGGCTTATGGTTTGATAGTAAGATTTTGGATTTCTAAGAGCAAACTGAGATTATGCATCAGTCATCACAAATATCTCCACCCACACAGCAAAAACAAGCTTAGAGACCTATGATTGAGTGGCACCAACGATTTCTAGTGCAACATATTTCTACCCACACAGCACAAGCAGGTTTAGAGACCTATGATTGAGTGGCACTAATGATTTATTTTTTTATAATCAAAATGGGATTAGTCCCTCCAAATTTATTCATGAGCCATGTGGCTAACATCAGTAGTTCAGTGCAGAGATTATGGACGATCACAATAGGAGGAAAAACTTCCCAACATTGAACAGCATTAGCGGGAAGATGGTTATGGGCTAGGGAGTGAGCTGCATCATTTGCTTCTCTAGGGGTTAAACATCCTAGGCAGCTTCTAGAATTCCAGCACAGACGATACCCACTTCTGTGAAGTCCTTTTTCTGGTTTGAGAGGTGTGCAATCAGCTTTTGCAGTCCGACTCTAGAACTCACGATTTCTATCGCAGCATGTTGAGCAAAATATCTCTGTCAATCACTAAATATGGAAAGTTCATTGCAGGCGTCTTTATTGTTTCTAAAGCTCTATAAATCCTTATCTCTTTGGGTTTTCACACTTGGGAAGATATGAAAAAGGAATTGCATAATGGCCTTTACCATGTGTGTCCTTCACTCCCATAACAATAATCTGCGAGGTCAAGAAACCGAGGATTGCAAGAATGCCTGAATTGAAAGTTACACTGTCTTTACTGAAATTAAAGATGGTGTTTTTTAAATTGAGTTTCATATTATCTTTGGTACTACTCAACATTTTTGTTGTTGAAAACTCCCTATTTTTAGAACTTTGTTCTGCTTCTTGATTGCTTTGCAGGAGTCCCATGTATATTTGGTGTTCTTACATGTGAAGACATGGACCAGGTGAGGATGTGACATGGATTTGCATACTGCTTAGTCCATGCTTTTACTGAAGTGGTCTTAGGAACATTTATTTGTCTTTTGATAAAAACTGCAGGCGCTAAACCGGGCTGGTGGGAAAGCTGGGAACAAAGGAGCGGAGGCTGCTTTAACAGCTGTAAGTTTTCTTTTTTCTTTAATGATCCGGTAAAATTTTCTTCTGATGATCGTTTCCTAGTGCTGAGGCCTTGTACAGTTGATCAATTAATGCACAAGCCTGGATTCTGTGGTTAGTTATTGAGTTCGCATGAAGTGCTGCATCAGCTATCAAAGATATAGCTTAACAAATGCAACTAGTTTTCCCTTTCTATTTAAGAGTGGAACAAATATAATTATGGCCTTCATGCCTTAAGATTGGAAAGGCGAGAGTTTCCTCTTTTTGGAAAGTGTAATAATAGCAGCCTTAAACCTAATGACAAGTTTTTGTTAGATATTAGTCTTTGACAGTAGAGTTTGGGTTGAACTGCAGATTGAGATGGCATCCTTGTTTGAGCATCACTTGAAGTAGGACTGCTAATGGTAGAACACATCACGTCAAGTTTGGTTGCATTTGAGGGGAAACTCGCTCGGTGCAGTTGTCTGTTGCCCAACAATGGCTACTTCAGGTTCAACTGCTGGTTTTAGTTTTCATTCGGATTGCTAGAATGTCTGAAATTTGAGATTGGTAGGACTGCAAAATTAGGCTGGTTCTTTTCCGTCGATTTTATAAATTGTTCTCCACGATTTGGAGCAGCATGGAGCTTGGAGGTGTAAGGTTGGAATAAAAACATGGTCGCCTGATTCAGGAACTTAATTGAGTGTTGCATTTTGCGTAATTGCTGCTAACTGCTTGATTATTCAACTGAACTCGGTATAATGATTTTCTGTATGTCCGATGTCGTAATTGACATCACAATATATGTATATATGAAGCTCGGTTTTCCATTTCTTTTCATTTATGCGCCCGAACTCCAGAGTTGCCCTACTCTTTCCCGTGGAGGTTGGAGAAGGTGGCTATGGGTCGTATGGATCTGTAACAAACGGACCTAATTGTAAATAGTTAGAAGTTGGCTATATGGGTCGTATGGCCAATCCACTCACAAAATTCGTGATATGCTTCAATTGATTGTTAATCCGGGGCCAGTAGGAGCCATTGCCGGTGTGGGAGGTCCGCTGGGTGATCGGAATGGAGCTTGAGGCATTCTTCCACTACCGAACCAAGGTTTCAGGGGAGTTGATCCTGTTGTAGTGCAGGACCTAAGGTTCATGCTCCGATTCCTCTAGTTGTAGAGCGGGAGCAATTTCAAGCTCCGGCCCCAGGTAACAATCATCAGCTTCCCCAATTAGACTTTCCATCCTTTAATGGTAAAGATCCTAGAGAGTGGACTAGGAAATACGAGAAACTGTTCGACATTTATGCTATCCCTAATGACTAGAAAGTGAATTTAGCGGTGATCTATTTTGAGCGTCGTGCTGATATATGGTTTGAAGGAAGGTTGGAAGTATGATAAACGAGACTTAAATTGGGAAGATTTAGTTGTTGCTTTATGCAACGGTTTGGGAATCGAACATATGGGGGTGTGGTAGCTGAGTTCAACAAACTCAAGCATCGAGGTTCTTTGGCAGAGTATCAAGAAAAATTCGAGGAATTACGTTCATTGATGTCCCGTTTTAATCTAGCTCTTGAGAAGATATATTTCATTAGTAGCTTTATTAGTGGGTTGGAGGAGGAATTACGTCCTGTGATGTAGATGTGGAATCCTCGGTCTCTGGAAGATGCCTTTCAATTGGCTCAGCTAGAAGAAGCTTCCAATGTGGCAAGACAGAAGAAGTGGCGTGGCCATTCTAGTCCTTGACCCATGCTGCTACGTCGCACACTCATACTCCTCAAGCTCGTCGATGGGAAGGTTCGAGTAGCAAACCTGCTTGTATGGCTAAGGCTCCTATGATGAATCAAAAGTGAAATGGGGCCCGAGTGTTGTGTTACAAGTGTGGTAATAGGTACTTCTTTGGTCACGTTTGTGAACCTAAGAAGCAACTCAAAGTGCTACAGGATAATGATGATGAGGAAGGCGTTACTAAGGATTGGAGTGGTCCTGATGAAGAGGAGTTAGTGGATCCCGGTCTGGAAGTTCAACAATCGGAGTTATAAGAGGTGTCTATGCAGACTCTAGGCAGTGGAGGTCTGTCTAACTCACTGATTGTGCAAGGCCAGGTTAAGAAGGATAATATTTACAATTTGAGTGACACTGGGAGCACCCAGCTACCCACATATTCCTCAATAAAGCTAAGGCTAAGGATCTCATAGGTCAATTGGTTCTAGCCCCTACTCCACTGAGGGTTAAACTAGCAGATGGTATCATATACTCTTGAGCAACATTGTATGCAAAGCTTTCTGTTGGGAGGTGCAAGGACATAAATTTACCTACGACATGAGAATTCTGAGTTTGGGCTCTAATGATGCAGTTATGGGTTTAGATTTGTTAAAAATCATCAGTCCAATAAAGTTTGATTTTCTTTCTCTTCGGCTCTTCTTTGATCGGAAAGGTCAGGAGGTGGTTTTACAAGGAATACAAGACATGGCCCAGTGCAAAGCCATTTCTGGTAAGAGCTTCCAGAAGATTTTCAGACATACCAATGCAGTTTTTGTGGGACAGTTGTTCAGTTTGACTTTGGAGGCTGGTAATCTTGGCAAGGTACTTTTTTTTTGCTCCAGTGTTAGAAGAATTTGCAGATGTTTTCGAGAAGCCCAAATCTTTACCACCAGCCAGGATTATGACAAAACCATTCCATTGCAACCAAATTCTCAGCCTGTCAATCTCAGACCATGTCGTAACTCTATTCCCCAGAAGAATTAGATGAATCGATTGGTCAAGAAAATGATGGAGCCTCAATAGATTCAACCCAGCAGGAGTCCCTATGCTTCTCCGGTATTACTGGTGCTCAAGATGGATAGCTCATGGAGGTTCTGTGTGGACTATCGTCAGTTGAATGATTTGACAGTCAAGGATAAGTTTCCTATACCCGTTATTGATGATCTGTTATATGAACTTCAAGGTTCCAAGTTCTTTACCAAGCTTGACCTACTGTCAGGTTGCCACTAGATTAGAATGCACCCTGATGATCAACACAAAACTGCATTCAGAATCCACCAAGACCATTATGAGTTCAGGGTAATGCCATTTGGCTTAACCAATGCTCCAGCTACCTTTCAGGCTTTAATGAATCAGATTTTGCACCTTGCCTCAGGAAGTTCATCCTGATTTTCTTTGACGACATACTCATATATAGCACTGATCACGAGACTCGCCAGCAACATTTGGCAGCTACCTTGACTATCCTCAGGCAGAACACACTCTATGCCAAGCCATCTAAGTGCTCTTTTGGCCAAACTTAGTTCGACTATTTGGGCTACATTATCAACCAGGAAAGAGTCACCAGTGATCCAGCTAAGTGACACGCCTCTACCTTCACACTAGAAAGTGGCCAAGTGTAACCACCTACTAATGCGTAGTATAGCGGGTTCAATTCTAAAGGTTTAACTAAACTAGCAAGCAAAAACAGTGAAAGTTGTGTTCAAAGTTGAGAGAGGTCACCGAGATATGGTTCCCCCTAGACTGCAGTTAAGCCAGGTTGTAATTCACCAAGTTCAAGTTCAATTATAGTTATACCGCGGGAGGTTCTTAAACAGTCTGCAGTCTCAACTAAAGGTCTCCAGACCCTCTCAATCTGAGTCCCCAGCGGCGACTAACCTCAACCGGAGTAAACTGATTGAGGCCCTAACGAACCAAACCTCCTCTACCGGAGTAAATCCGGTACAAAATAGTGAATTGACTCCTCGACTAAAGTCGTCAATTCACTACCTTCAATCAAGGGTGCTCTATCAACCTAGGTAGATATTCTCTTTCTAGGTCAAAGCAGAAATAACAGGAATTTGATCAGGATTCATGCCATTCAGGAAATCAAACCTCAATTGAATATAATCAACATCAATGAATTCCTACTTGGGTTCATACAATCAGACCTAACATACAAATCTAGGGTTCTTCATACCCAGGTGAGTGAGAGAGTTTACTCCATAGAGAGAGAAGGGAAATCAAACTCAGGTGCGGAAACCATGTTGTGAAGGATGAGATTCTACTTCTGGCAATCAATCGGCACTTCTCCAAGCTTAAGCCGAGCTCCAATGGTGATGAAGATTGATCTAGGGCGCTTGGAGAATCTGGTTCGTCACTCTCTCTCTAGGTATCAGCTTTCTATCTCTAAAACTCGGAACCTTTCAAAAATTGGTCTTCTTTCCCTTAAAAAGCAGCAAGTCGCGATCCCCAGCCGTAATATCCGGTCGAGTATTTCAGGTGCCAGGCCGGGGATTTCAAAATGATGCGCAACGGCTAGGGGGTTAATACCCGATCGAGGTCCAGAATACCCGATCGGGTATTGTAGCTCCCTGGCCGGGACCCCTTCTGCCTTTTTGGCGTCCAAAACAGGAATCCCCGACCTCTCTTTGCATTTTACCCGGTCGGGTATTTAACTCATGGCGGGTATTTTGCTCTTCCAGCGCCCTTCACTCCAGTGTCCTCCTTTTTGACCCGAAACTCGTTTCCTCTCCTTCACGTCAACGCCAAGTCCTGAAATATGACATAAACACACAACCTAGCGTGAAATCGGCTTAAAACACGAGAATCGACTCTCAAACGGCTCAAGAATGGAGGTATAAACATGTGCAATTAATGGTCTATCAAATGCCCCCACACTTAACCGTTTGCTTGTCCCCAAGCAAACCTAACTTAAACCAATGCAGCTCTCCAGACCTGTATAAGAACAAACAACCCCGTTCGTCGGTAGAGGATTCTCTAGATCATATAGCAGCTTACGAGGTCAACTGGTCTTCTAAGACATCCCCTATCTCTCTCTCTATGCGAGTGCTAGACTCAAGCCAGGATCATGAGAAGCAGTGGAATTAAGACAATCAGTTCATAAGTAAAGGGACGCACCCCATTCAACAACCAAGGACTCATTGTACTGGGGTTCCCTTTCACTTCATTTCACCGTTGGAACCCCTTTTTGCATTTCATTTCACATTTCTTTTTCTTTTTCTTTTTTCATTCACTTGGTGGGGGGCCAACTGCAGTCTTTTGTACGGTCGACCCTTATTAGTTGAGCAAGAGCAATTTCTGTACATCTGTCACTCGCCAGAGTACTTCTTTTAACTCCTTTTCCTCAACTCGTGTGGAGGGTCAATGAAATTAAGGGGGGTCGGAATCTTTATCCGTGCCCTTAAAAACACATCCTCGAGTAGGCAAACCGTTCAACGGGTGAAAATTTTACTTGTACTAGAGACAGCTTAGCTTCTCCTTGTAGGAGTACCCCACTAAGGATCACCAAAATCTCTTCCAAAACCCAATTTTTTGCAATGAACGGTGCCACACACGTTGGGCTTACCCCATGTTTAAGATTTCAATTATTCCGACATGGAGGACCAACTGTTTTTCATTTCACACATGAGAACCCTGTTCGATACACGAGTCCACAACACAACTCAAAAGGAGTCACCAATACCACATGAATTCAACGGTCTTAATTCCACTAATTCACAAAATCAACCGGCACAGCGGAGAGATAGATAGGAAAAATCTTATACTTCAACATCCTCCATAGTTCTACACTACCTCCCAAGGTTGCATATCACTATAAAGACTATCAATTCAAAGCATACTGAGCAGGCAGTTTGCAAAGAACACGTACTTGGAGCCCTCAAATCGAAATTTGGACAGTGGACTATGCTCCAAGCACACAAACAGATCGAAGAAGTCAATAGATACATCCCCCCACACTTAAGTTCGACATTGCCCTCAATGGAGGAGAGGGAAGGATAAGGGGAACGATGTTACCGGTATGCGCGGACTGCAGTGAGACTCGAAGGTGGACTAGTCGGAGTGAAACGGACTGGAATGGGACCAGTTGGTGCAAAGGCATGGCTAAAGAAGACACAAGCACTCAAGCACAGATACGTTAGGTCAATTGTCA